AACTAATCTTTCGCCGTGAACTAATCTTACATTTCTTAGCTTTTCACATGGTTTTAATTACTTATGGCATTTTGTTTACTTTGTAGACTTTGTCAGCAGAAGCAAACCATGTTGCCTTCAGTATTTAGTGTCGGAGAACCGCAGCCTTCTTTACAACGCCCACAATAGGGCTAAAGCGCCACCTGCTGTAAAACGAATTAAATGATTAGTTCAAGATTCGTTCATGACTCGTTCATTTTATTGTTTGAGAGTCAAATATTTGAATCAATAAAAAGAGTCGGTCTTCCCCATCACTAATACGGATCCGTCCCCCATCAACTCATCGACTATGCCCTGGACTTCTTCTATATCCCTGGCCCTATCAGAACCTTAGTAGCCAAGTACTTTGAAGACTGCAGAACTGCAGAACTCTCGGACAAGAAAATGGGGGAAACAGTGAGGAAGCAGCTGGCAGATAGCCTGGCCAGGATCAACCAGAGCCAGCTCCCCAGCAAGTACAAGGTATGGAGTTACCAGTTCATAATGTACCCAAGGGTGATGTGGCCTCTGAAGATGAGTGAAGTCTCCTCGTCCGTGGTGGACAAGATGGATAGGCTGGTTCATCAGGAAGTGTCTGGGACTGTCGAGATGCCTATTAGATGTAGGCCTCTTTGGCAGAAATGCACTGCAGCTGCCACTGTGATCCATAGGTCTGGGCTACAAACAAGAGAAGGCCCGGATGGTGCTGGAGCTGAGAGATTCCACCGATCAACTGGTGAGTTTTCACTCAGGAACTGGCTAGACTGAGCCAGATTTGGCCCACGGGCCACCAGTTGATGATAAAATGAAATCCATTTGTGTGACTGAATAGGATTTTTTTAAATCTATTTTTTTATTCTCATGTAATTACAGTAACACTGTGAGATGGAGAGATGAAGCTCATTGTTGCATGTCCTCCTTTCACACCAGCAACATCAAAATAGTTTTTTTTTCAATCAATAAGCCGTTGTCACGCGTCACAATTATTTACCATCAGATTAAAACAAGTTCTCTCTCTCCCTCACCCTCTCTCTGTCCTTCACTCTCTCTCTGTCCTCCGTCTATTTTAAAACCCCGCTCCCCTAAAATGTGAATTTTGTTTACAGGGACAGCACACTAATTTTCCACAAGAAGCCTTCTCACAGGCAAAAATGCAGAGGATGTGAATAACTCATCGAGCATGTCGAATATATACAGATATCGTGAGAAGCTCTGCTAACGTAAATACACGCCTAACTGCGGAGTAACGGGAGTGACGTGGAGAAATTGAGCGTTTCTGTGCAATGTGAGAATGTCAGACTTCCTCTCCCCACATTCTCCCTCTCAACCTTCACTGATCAACAGTGGAAATTTCTCCTTCCCTTAGAAAAATGTCTCACAGGACTCTTCCGCAGGTGGGGGTCTCTTTTCCGTGAATAAGCCTCATCATGTGACCTCAGAGCAAAGACAAACAGCAGGGATGAATAAAAAGCAGCTCTAATGACGGTTTGGGCCAAATTATGGAACCGACTCTTGGAAATGGATGAGTGTGATTGAGACAATGGAGTGTGATTTTCCCAGGGAATGATGATGGTGGTGGCGGGTGTATGTGATCCGGGTGTGGGGGTGTGGAAGGGGGGTGGAGGGGGAGGGCAGACACACAGTCACTGTCTTTCAGCACAATGTTCCAGCTGTTCTTGAAGCCTGCTTTAGTCCTTGGTGTCTTTCATTTTAATAACCATTCAATTCAAACAGTTCTTACTGTGAAATTCCAGTTAGAACTCATGTGACGGGACATTTAAGTCGTGAAAACATTTCGGTGGCTGCTTTACTTTGATGTGTGCTTACAAAACAAACGAGTAAAGGGCCCCAGTGTATGTAAAACAACAACAATGGTACAGTAATGACAGTGATTGTAAGGTAAGGCTAGTTCTGTTACTTTGGTAACATTCAAATACCGTATTTTTCGGACCATAAGGTGCACCACATTAAGGCACAATATCAATGAATGGGAATATTTTCATACATAAAGCGCACCGGGTTATAAGGCGCATTAAGCGAAACAAAACAGTCTTTGCTGAGCCTTTTTCACCAGTTGTGTGGTGTTCAGTGTCCAGGTGAGGTCTTCGTTGATGTGGACCCCCAGGTATTTGAAGTTACTCACCCTCTCAACTTCCCGGCCTCGGATAAGCAGTGGCTGATGGGGGTGCTTCACCCTCCTCATGTCCACTATCATCTCC